CACTGATTTTAGTGGTTTTTGCCCCACCCCCCAGGCCCCAGGGGGGCAGGGACCATGAAATTCACAATTTTTGTTCCCCTTCAACCATAGATACTATATGCCAAAATTGGGTGAAATTGGTTCAGCGGTTTCAGAGAAGAAGCTGAAAATGTTCAAATGTTAACGCACGACGAACGACGAACGACGAACGACGGACGACGAACGACGACAGACGAAAACGGATAGCAATAGGTCACCTGAGTTTACTCAGGTGACCTAAAAATTTAAGACTGCAAATGGCTCAGTGCAACAGTTTCAGACATGTTTAAGACATGAACTTAATTTTTCAAATTTTTATTTCATTAATTGCTTAATCAATACATTGCATATTTGTCAATATTAATTAAACTCATTCAATTTTATATATTGTTAAATCCTGAATGTTACACTTTTAATCATAAATAATTCAACAATTTAGAGAATGTGTGTTGGTTTTGGAGAAAGATCATCAACAATTTAAATTTTATGTACATTATTAAGAAAAATATGTACAAAATATTCTAGAAATATAACTAGGCATTTAGATTTCAAATTCAGAAAATTTTGTAAACTGAAAGAATCAGGTATTGGATATGTAAAAAACTAAAAATAATTAGTTGTTTGGATCTTGTAGATCTTATTTTAATTATTAGACAATACGTAGAACAGGTACCATTAATAAACTGTTTAATGAAACTCAAGTCTCTTATTTCATTTTGTTTCTAAGTGTTTACAACCATTTAGACAACAAAGGCATCATTTTTCATTTCATTAAAAGCTGAGTTCACAATTCTGAGGTAATTTTTTTCTTCTAAGGGTTATGTCATTGTTTTTAGGCACCCTGAGAGCTCAGTTGTAGAGTTTGAGGGTTAGGCTTTTGTATAATGCTGTGGAGCTTACAGATATATACATACATGTTTATATGATTTGTCAGGGATTAACCTATGTTGGTATGTAAGCGAACATATTTAAGGAGGAGGAAAGTGGTGGTCAGATAGACTTGTTCACCATAGGACAAATCGATAGCTCAACTGGTGGAATACTTATTTTTGGTCGGAAATATTTGACATTTTACTGGCTTTCTAAAACAATTTTGATATAAGACGTCAGAATGCAGGCCTTTGCAGGGCAATTGTGACAAGTGGAAATTTGCCATCTTCAAACTGAGGCAACATTCTTGGGTTGATTTTCCATAGATGCAAATTGAATTTAATGTCAACACAACATTTAATTGTTTTTTTTATTAGCTCACTTGAGCCGAAGGCTCAAATGAGCTTTTCTGATCAAAATTTGTCTGTCGTTGTTGTCGTCGTAGTCGTTGTCGTTGTTGTAAACTTTTCACATTTTCATCTTCTTCTCAAGAACCACTGGGCCAATTTCAACCAAACTTGGCACAAACTATCCTTGGGTGAAGGGGATTCAAGTTTGTTCAAATGAAGGGCCATGTCCTTTCCCAAGGTGAGATAATTATGAATTAGAGAAAAATTAATGGCATTTAAAAAAAATCTTCTCCTCAAGAACCACGTGCACTGGGCCAGGACAGATGAAACTCGTGTAGAAGAATCCTCTGGTAGTGTAGATTCAAGTTTGATCAAATCATGACCCCCGGGAGTAGGGTGGGGCCAAAATGGCCGATCAAAGTTTTACATAGGAATATATAGGAATAATCTTTAAAAAAATCTTCTTCTCAAAAACCACTGGGTCAGGAAAGATGAAACTCATGTGGAATCATCCTCAGGTAGTGAAGATTCAAGTTTGTTCAAATCATGACCCCCGGGGTTAAAAATCTTCTTCTCAAGAACCACTGTGCCAGGAAAGATGGAACTCAAGTGAAATCATGCTCAGGTAGTGTAGATTGACATTTGTTCAAATCATGACCCCCGGGGGTAGGGTGGGGCTAAAATGGCCGATCAAAGTTTTACATAGGAATATATAGGAAAAATCTTCAAAAATCTTCTTCTCAAGGACCACTGTGCCAGGAAAGATGAAACTAATGTGGAATCATCCTCAGTGAGTGTAGATTCAAGTTTGTTCAAATCATGACCCCCGGGGGTAGGGTGGGGCCAAAATGGCCGATCAAAGTTTTACATAGGAATATATAGGAAAAATCTTTAAAAATCTTCTTCTCAAGGACCACTGTGCCAGGAAACATGAAACTCAAATGGAATCATCCTCAGGTAGTGTAGATTTATGTTTGTTCAAATCACGACCCTCGGGGGTAGGGTGGGGCCAAAATTTACATAGGAATATATAGGGAAAATCTTCAAAAATCTTCTTCTCAAGAACCATTAGGACAGGAAAGATAAAACTAATGTGGAATCATCTCAGGTAGTGTAGGTTCAAGTTTGTTTAAATCATGACCCAGACCCCCGGGGGAAAGTAGGGGCCAAAATGGTCGATCAAAGTTTTTCATAAGAATATATAGGGAAATCTTTTGAAATCTCCTTCTCAAGTACTTCAAAGCCATAATTAGTGATATTTATATGAAATCATCCTCAGGTAGTGTTGATTCTAGTTTGTTCAAATCATGACCCCCTAGGGAGTTAAGATTTAAGGCCCCCCCAAAAAAAAACTCCGGAAACTTTCATTTCTGATCTGATAATAATTGCTTTTTCCTAGCCTGTGTGCTCAGGTGAGCGCTGTGGCCCCTGGGCCTCTTGTTTTTGTGTATTATAAATCCTTGTGAAAACATTTTATCAAATTGTTGAAGTTAGTTTTGATTTTGTGCTGTTTCAAATCTTGTAAGAATGGAATCAAAATGTAGAGTGGTATTTTTTTAGTGAAATGTCAAAGCATTGTGCAGTTGATATTAAAGTTGTGACTTTAATATTTAAATTTAACTGCAAGTATCATATTCATCTGGTGGTATATGTATTCTTGCACATCTAATATCAAAATCACTTGAAACAAGATGTGTTTGTGAAACACTATGCACCCGGCGGAAACAAATTTCAAAAAAGCAATTTTTAGCATAATTATAAGTCACAGTGAAAGTCACACAATCATGGTATTTGGTGTCATTTGAAAGCATTTAATTAGTGGAGTATGAATAAGAAATATGATGTCTCTATCTCCTATGGTTCAAAAGTTATGGCAAAAGTTCGAAAAAGCTATTTTAGCATATAGGTCACAGTCAAGGTCACAAGGTCATTGACCTTGCTGTCAGATGAAAGTGCTTAGTTAGTGGAGTACGCATAACAAATATAAAGTCTATCTCTCATGGTTCAAAAATGATGGCAAAGTTTAAAGTTGACAACAGACAGACAAACAGGACAAAAACACTATATGCCCCCAATCTATCAGGTGCATAAAAATCCTTGGCAAATGCCAGATATTTAGGACTTATCTCTTATGCTGCACAACATCTAACTTTAGAAGTAAAACCTAGGTAGTGACTACCAGAGCTTTTAATAAGCAAAAGGAGGCGATAAATCACCAGTTCAAATGATTAGAATTTGCTTCTAAACTTGTTATTGGCCAATTAATGAAAATAAATTTAGAACATCCTCTTAAAATAGACAATTCACCTCTTCTCTTCATAACTATTGGGCACTTCACACTGCCACTTAATTTTTTCAAACAGGTCTCAGCCAGTCAGGATATTTGAAATATACCATTTATTCATTGATTCTTGCAAGAAATCTTTATACCCTAAATGTATAATTACTTTATGATCATCATATTAGAAGATTATTTTCAATAGTGATGCATGAATGTTACTCATATTTATACAGAAAGACTTGTCTGTATATGAGATGAATACATTTCAAGTTAAAATCTCTTTTAAATGCTAGAGCACGTACACTATCATACCTCCCATAACTGATAACAACATAACTGAACATTTTCCAAATTTTCACTGTACTGTCATTAACTTCAGATTCATTTTTTTTGTCTTCGCTTTCTTCTTTTGCTTCATTTGCTTTGATTTTCCATCACCACTTTTAAATTTTTTGAATTTGCCAGGTTTGAATGTTTTTTTTCCATTGTCTTTTTTGTTATATTTATTAGCTCCCTTTTTCTGGTTCTCTTTTTTGACTGGTGACCCTTCCTTCTTGTCTTCAGCTGCTTTGCTGTCCCTCTCTCCCTCCTTTTCTTTCTTGCCCTCATCAGAAATGTTCACAGACTCTGCCATCTCAGCTGCAACCCGAGTTTTCTCTTCCTCGCCTGTAATAAAATCAGTTGAAGTTTCTTAAACTCTAAAAATTCTAGTCATTTATTAATTAACTGGAAATATTTCCTGAAATCTAATTTATCAACAGAAACCATACTTGGAAAAGATTAGGAAAAAAACAAGAGGCCCACGGGCCATACGGGTTACCTGAGTATCATGTAACAACTTTCCAGCGATTGTATTTGGTTCGGGTTTTAATCCAAAAGTCATGAAATTCACAAATTTTGAAAGAGGCACCATTACTTATCAAAGGGCAGATTTCAAAGCATTAATTTATTTTTAGTCAAAGTACCCCCCTGGTAGCCCTGACCCAGTTGTCCTGAAATTATCTATTTAGAAAGAGGCCCCTTTCTTCATTATAAGGCCAGTATTTTTTTTATGTTTAAATTTAGTAACATTGTATTAACTTGAGAATAAAAAAGTCCAAAAGGAGAAGGAAATAATTTTTTTTTTTTGATAAATCAATTATTAACATTTGTACATTCTTTTTTTATGCTATCCTAATAGGCTCCTTACCACTGGACACATAATGCTTACAAATAGGAAAGTAGAACATTTAATCGCTTATTTCATCATCTGCCAGTTTGGCCCAGTTATATACAGGTGTCTCATTATATCGCGGTACTAAATTCTTTTGAATAAAAAGTGTAATTTCTAATTTTTGTTTTAACTTACATCAAATGATAATTGTAATTCTAACTTTGGCCTAACTTTTTAGTGTACAATTATTTTCCGAGCTTGCATCGTTTAATTTGTGGTCTATTTTTAAAACAGGAAGTCTTATTTACCTCCTAAATCGGAGAGTCTCATTGTATCGCAGTATGGAAATACATGGAAACTTGTAAATGATACAGACTTCAATTTTTATTTTTGAATTTACGATGTAATTCTACATGAAAAAGTGAACAATTGTATATTCTAAAGACTTTTAAAATATGAAATTTATTATGATTTTTACGAGATTATAATTCTAATGGTCTAAATATAATTTAAAGGAGACAGGAAATCAGAAAATTTCGTTTTATTTTTTTCAACAGGATGTTCCATACTTCTTAATCACCGAAAATAATAAACATTCAAACAACATTCATAATGTCTATCAACAAAAAGAAAATAGACTATGTATCAACATTTTTGCGATATACCGCTATACAATGAAACCCGCGATATAATGAGAATTGAGTATATAAATTTTGTGATGTTGATCAAAATATATTTTAAAAAATCAATTCTTTAAAAGTCTTTCAATATATCTTCATTTTTTTATTATGTGTTAGGTGAATGTGTAGACATTGTTCTAAAATTTACTTGTTGCCTAAAATTATAATTCGTATCATAAAACAGACAGGGAGTATTGGGGAGTACGGTGAACATTTTTTTCATATAAGTGTAAACTAATTTTTCTGGCTGATACAAATGATACTACATGCCTGTATATATTTGTATATTCTTGCCTTTTAATAGTTGAATTTTTTTTTATTTCTTCAGGTTATTGTTTATTTCTTCCTCAAATTAACTTAACTTCAACAAATAGTTTTATTCATTACATCTGATGCGTAAGCAACCCTTTTCTGAAGAATGATGCTTAGACTGTAAGCTATAACAGAGACCTAAACAATGTCGATGGCAATATGCAATAGCTACCACGGGCAGTTTAAAACCTGGGGGAGGAAAATAATTTACAGACAGTTACTTTTGAAACGAATACATAATTATCTCACCAGCATGTCATTGTGCAACAAAGTCGTCAGCATTTTATTTGTCCTTTGAACGGGTGAAACGTTTTGAATGGCACTCTTATCGATGAATTTTACACTAAACCAGGCTCTCAGATCTAGCTTTATTTACCCACCGTTTCATCGTAAAACCGGAAGTGCGAGTTCGTAAATTTGAAATCTCGATCCCGACTCAAATTTGACATCGGAAAGAAAAAAATATTTTTTTCTGAATATTTTTTTCTGAAAATTCAAAACCTTGAGCAAGGGTTTTTAAAACTTAAAATAAAATATATCCTGGCCTTTGATATGTAATTAGATCATTAGCATATTAACCGGGAGCAAAGGATAAGATGTTCAACAGGTCTGGACGATTTCTAAATATGGAAGTCAAGAACCATAACCGATAGTTGCTATAAATGTACATCAAGTACACGTAATTATTTTTCTGTCCAATCAGACAACAGCATTTTTACACACCCCAAAACATATTTTAAAAGAACAAAAAGATAACACGTGCTTTTGTTTTTTTTCCTCAAAAAGATTTTTTAAACAAAAAATCTGTAGAAGTAAGATGATAACTTTTGAAGAATAAAGTATTCCCCCATTTTTTTTACCGTGAACAACCTTGACATTTTTATCTCTGTAAAGAAAAAAAAATAATGCACGATAAAATGCAATCGTTTACAGAGGTATAGATCGCACCAGCAAGTTTTTATCAAGTTCAATTATAACATTTACCAGAATATATTATATGATGGTAAATATAATTTTGCTTAGCCGTCCGATTTTCATCGATAATGCTTAAATTCCATATGTATAGATCAACTCACACAATGGTTTATCGTATGGAGTATACACATATAGATTTGCATTATCACGGGTTTCATGAGCGCCGAATACTTAGCTAAGCATACTTTAAATGGGCATATTAAGTAAAGGCGTTAAACGTGGAGAAAAGAGAATCCTGTAATTATACATGAATGCGTTTTATCCCAATATCTTACCTCGCATATCAGAAACTGCATTGACTACTATTATTCTGTAATAAACACTCAAAAAATAATAAAGACTGTTATCTTTTCGATAAGTTTTTTTATGTCAGGCTCTAAAAACTGAAAATTTACCGTATTCATATCAATTTTTTAATGTAAGTAAACTTTTGGGATTGCTAACTCCTATAGACAGATTTTTTTATCCCACTTAAAACGTATTCCAAGCTTTCAAGTCGTGTTTGTTCACGGTAGAATTGTCATAAATATTATATTATTCCCAAATGCGCATAAAGTTTACAAAAAGTTTGTTCTAAAAAAATCTTTTGAGCAAAAAACTTAAAAACCACGTGTTTTATTTATTCTCTCATGGGTTTGTCTAAATGCTGTTATCTGATTGGTCAGAAGGATTAGCGCCTTGTTTATTCCGTGTATTAATAGCAATTTACGGTTATCGTTCTTGACTTCCTTATTTAGAAATCGTCCAGACCTGTTCAAAGAGATCATGCATTTCACTACATAATCATTAGATCCACACCCTATAACACAAGAACCCCTGACCCTGGGGCCATAAAATTCACAATTTTGGTAGAGGCACTCTTGCTCATCATAACTATGTACTTAGTTAGTTTATTTAATACCCATGAGCAGAGAAGAAAATTTTCAAAGAATTCATGTATTTTCACTATATTATCAATAGAGCCCCGCCCTAACACTAGAACCCCTGACCCTGGGGCCATAAAATTCACAATTTTGGTAGAGGCACTCTTGCTCATCATAACTATGTACTTAGTTGGTTTATTTAATACCCAGGAGTAGAGAAGATTTTCAAAGAAATAATGCATTTCACTACCTACTTATTTAGCCCCGCCCTAGCACTAGAACCCCTGACCCCAGGGCCATGAATTTCCCAATTTTGGTAGAGGACTCATTGCTTGTTACAATCATGCAAACAGTTTGACTGCTTGATGTCCAGGAGTAAAGAAGAAGATTTTTAAAGATTGCATTAATTTTAGTGGTTTTGGCCCCACCCCTCAGGCCCCAGGGGGGCAGGGATCATGTAATTCACAATTTTTGTTCCCCTTCACCCATAAATGCCTTGTGCCAAATTTGGTTGAAATTGGTTCAGTGGTTGCAGAGAAGAAGCTGAAAATGTTGAAATGTTAACGCACGACGCACGACGACGGACGAAAACAGATAGCAATAGGTCACCTGAGTTTACTCAGGAGACCTTAAAAACAAAAATTAAATATAATTTGAAGCGACTACAGTATACAGTAAAACTCGGTTAAAACGAAGTCACGGGGACCAATAAAATTACTTCACTATATCTGTAATTCGTTATATCCGTATAAGGAATTTGTTCAATTTATATAGCTGGGGATCTAAGATAACTTCGCTATATCCGTGAATTCGCTATATCCGTGTTCGTCCTAAACAAGTTTTGCTGTATATTCATTACTGTTAAATTCAATACAAACCTTAGTTATACGAATACCTGTGCTAGGTCCCGTCTCCTGTTTTTCAGTGTATTTGTACGAATTGTCACCGGTCTTTGTACTTCATTGGCTTCCAAAAATTCTGATATCTGCAACAAATCAATGATAATTTCTGCCTTTATTTTAATCCAGATTTAATTAAAAAGAAATTTTGTATTGATTTCAACTCTATGACATGTTCAATACATTTGATCGACCCTTACTTCCTTTAAAATTTTATTTTACCTCATGAGGAAAAGCTACAGTAGTTTCTCCATTAGGGATTCATTGTAGCTATAATAAGCACACAGATCCTTGACAAGTTAATCTAAATATTCCTGCTTGCTTCTATAGCAAATAAAAAACACAAACTATTATAATCTCTGATACATATCATGTACCGCTACTTCCTTGTATAAAAAACCCACAATATATTCTGATATTACACCCTTACTAATGTTATTGTGATTTAAATTAAAGACACGTGGTTTAGGTTTACCTATTCAAAGGTTATAGGGTAGATCGGGTTTTATAAATAAAATTAGCAGTAAACAGGAAATTGCTATAGTCTGTTTCTTTTGAAAACATGTCCTGTGAAAAATGTGTTTCCACACCTTTCTGAAAGACTTTCATGATATTCAACAGAAATAGGTGACTTAAAGGGGGGGGGGTAAATAACAATTAATACATTTATAGTTTATAACTGCAAAAAATTACAGAACACTAGCGACCGATACGCTGGTAAAAATATCTGTAATATCATCTACACTGACAAACATTTGTTTGCTTAATATGGCTGTTGCTATTAATGCGCACAGAGGATCTTACCACGAGCAACTGACCAATTGTTGATTGAATACGTTTACGCCAAATATACATGTTTACATGTTACTTCGAACACGTGGTTCAGGTCAATCTACGAGTATGATCATGTCAAAAAAATGTTCTTATGAACAAAATGCAAACATTAGAAACTATGAAAATATCATGGGCGTTTTTAATTTGTAATTAGTTTAATAAAATGTATACGTAGTTCGTGTCAAGTTCAGAACACCAGCACTTCAAGGGTAAGGAAAACGAACAGCTTCTTGTATGCATTTAAATGGACAAAACATTTTTTACATACATGTGTGTCGGCCATCGAATCTACCTGGCAATTGTATTCACCGATAGTACAGTAAAGGAATTTATCAAGCGTTAAATTCCTGTAGTATTCGTATACAGTAGTAATCCATAATGCAATTCTCATTCATCTGGAGTCAGTTAACGTCACATTGGTGCCTCATTTGCTAATCGCCCCGTGGGGATCCGGGTCAGATCTCAGTAGGTCCTCAGTACCCCTTGCTTGTCGTAAAAGGCGACTAAATGGGGCGGTCCTTCGGATGAGACCGTATAAACCGAGGCCCCGTGTCACAGCAGGTGTGGCCGTAAGTGCCGAGCATAGGCCTAAATTTGCAGCCCTTCACCGGCAATGGTGACGTCTCTATATCAGTGAAATATTCTGGAGAGGGACGTTAAACAGTATACTATCAATCAATCATTTGCTAATCTGAAGCCAAAAAATATAGTCCCGATTCCCATGCAAAATATTTGTCCAAAAAGAAATTTTAATTCTTGACAGCAGAAAATTGGATCACAGAGAATACTTAAAGTAATGTAAACTTGAATGGATTCAAGAAAGATCGATTGAAGTACATTTCGACAGAATTATATGATAGGGTGGTGAAAACTAAAACGCAACATAACTTTTCTGTTTATCATGTCTCCACGTGCTAGTAACTTCCGTGCCACACTTCCGTGAATAATTTACCTATCTCGCTAAAGTATCGCTAGCTCTCGCCAGAGCCACTGCCAGAGCTACTCTGAACTCATCGAGGTTTATAATGTGCAGAACAACGAAAAATAAAAGGTTCCGAACACATAAGTAGGGGTGTATTAGAAACAGGAAGAAATTTCCTGGATGCATCTCTAGAGAGTAAGGGTAGGTTGTGTCTTGAAATATGTTTTACATTTGTATCGCTAGTGAAGAGAGAGGTTTTATCTCTTAATTACCCAAGGGTTTGTGATAAAGTGATGATATTGAGTATGTTTACATCACATACATAATTTAATACCAAAATACCGTTACATAGTTTTTTTTAAAAGATGGGCATCATAGTACATTGTATTTAACAAAATTATAAAGCTAGAACTGTCCTAGCAGAACTTATACCTATTTGTGGGGAAATTATAAAAATATGTATGTTAAAATGATCTGTATTACCTTTAAAATAATTTGTATTACCTTTCTAAAACTATTGATGAAAATCATGCATCCTTAAATTTCAATGCCTGTTTCTCGCCAAAGAGTAATTTAATTGCTAAAAGTTGACACCCATCTAGTCACAGAGTAAAAAATATGACCATCCACAGTCCAATGTAAAATTTCATGCTCCGATTTTTTAATGTTCATTTATTTCTAAATCATAAGATGCTGACATTGTCCAAATAATTATGTCATAAAATCATGACCAAATCCTAGTTTTAAATGAACCTTTGAGCTAAGTATCCTGACCTCTTATGCTCCTCCATTGAAAGATTTATCTTTTTTTTATTTGAATTTGTCATAACAGATACCTTCAGAATTTGACAGTTTTGAACTCTGTGACCTTGACATTGATTAAATTACCTTTTTAGCTCAACTGAGCTGAAAGGTCAAGTGAGCTTTTCTGATCTCATTTTGTCTGTTGTGCATCTGTCCATCCATCTGTCTGTAAACTTTTAACATTTTCGACTTCTTCTCAAGAACCACTGGGCCAATTTCAACCAAACTTTCCATATAGCATCCTTGGGTGAAGGGGATTCAGGTTTGTTCAAATGAAGGGCCCTCCCTCTTTCAAAGGGAGATAATTAAGAAATAGTAAAAATTTGGTGGCATGTTTGAAAAACGTTCTATTTGTATTCAGATTCGTTTTTTTTTCAGGAATTTTGGCACTTTTCAACTTAGATTTTTGGCCATACCATGGATGTATGGGGCACCGTTTTGGTATTTACTGCCAAAAAGTGATATCACCTATTTGAATAGGTGATATCACCTATTCTAATAAGTGATATCACCTTTTTGAATAGGTGATATAACTGATATCACCTATTTGGTTTGAATTGGTGATATCACTTATTCGAAAAGGTGATATCACCTATTCGAAAAGATGATATCACTTATTCGAATAGGTGATATCACCTTTTCGAATAAGTGATATCACCTATTCGAATAGATGATATTACCTATTTGATTTGAATTGGTGATATAACCTATTCGAAAAGGTGATATCACTTTTTCGAATAGATGATATCACGTATTCAAGTAAGTGATATCACCTATTCCAATTGAATAGGTGATATCACCTATTCGAATAGGTGATATCACTTACTAGAATAGGTAATATCACCTATTCAGCACGAATAGGTGATATCACCTATTTATTTCGAATAGGTGATATCACCTATTCGAATAAGTGATATCACCTATTCGAATAAGTAATATCACCTTTTCGAATAGGTGATATCACTTTTTGCCAGTAAATACCAAAACGGTGCCCCATATGGATGTAGAGATATTAACAGTTTATCAGCGCAACTTCTCATAAACCATAGCACAGAATTCAATCAAACTTTGCAGATATTTAGGACACAATGTGTAGATGTGCATATTACCAGGAAATTTATATTTCTTTTTTTTCTGGGAATTTCAGCACTTTTCAACTTAGATTTTTGGCCATATCTTGAATATAGAGATATTTAGGACACAATTTGTAGATGTGTAATTACTAGGAAATTTTCGATTCTTTTATTGTTTCCCGGAATTTCGGCACTTTTCAACTTTTGCACATACCGGTATTTAGACCACAATGTGTAGATGTGTATGTTACACAGGCACTTGTTTCGGGAATAAATTTTAACCCATAGTATAATAATTAAACGGTGTTATTATTATACTATGGGTCAAAAATTTATTACAGAAACAAGTGCCTGTGGTATGTTAAAAATACATAGAACCTAATCTACAAAAGACATAAAATTATCAATTAGAAAAAAATCTGCTTCAGAATTCCATCATAATGCCTTGACTGTGACTTGTTTATTTAAGGAATCACTGTCTAGTTAGTATTGTATGCCACGGCATCAACGATAGTGGGAAACATGGGATAATTTGCATAATGGACGAAGCCCGTTATGCATAAAATATCCCATGTTTCCCACTTTCGTTGATGTCCCTGGCATACTATACTAACTAAACAGTGATTCCCTATATTTTCCATTTCAATGTGAAATTTAGTTGTAGATTTAGACAATTAAAATGTAGACATTAGATTAAAATTACATGAGGACTCCCATGCCAATATTTCAATAGTCCTTGCCCACTGACGCCAAACACAAAGGCAGCCGCATGAGATTTACATGCATACAATGTATTTGGCCTCCTTAGCGTCAGACACAGACTGAGACACATGCGCACAAGATTTGCTCGCATATTAGGCCTCCTTAGCTCATGACCTATCGACCTGCCTAATTTACATTCCGGTAGATTTATCAAGGAATAAACTCCTCTAAATTTCAAAGTTATCACACGTTCAAATTAGAAATGGAAATATTATGAAATAAAACTGATTGTGACTGATGTAAGAAGGAAATGGAAATAACGAACAGTATTCAATCTCAACGTTCATTAAACAATATACAAAATAAGAGCAGGGCAAACACGGACCTCCGAAACATCAGAGGTGGGATCAGGTACCATGGAGGAGTGAGCATCCCCTGCCGACCGGTCACACCCGCCGTGTGCTCGTTGTCATAATCAGGAAATAACGGAAAAAATCCGTCGTCAAATCAGTGTATAAATAATGGACTAACAATTGGTATGAAAAACGTCAGTCAGCATTTCATTCAATGATAAATTGTATTTGCTGACAAGGTCATTGTATCGACCATAGAATTTACGAAATGATGACTTTAAACGAAACTGTTGATATTCTTGTTTCATCAACTTGCTTGTCAATAATTTACCTCGTTTAAGAAATTGTTCATACGTAGAGCATGCTCTTGCGTATCGAATCAACTGAGATATATATACTCCGTATGCAGGTAATGAAGGTATATTGCTGCATAAGTAAGGGAAGTTGACGATAGAAAAGTTAAAATCATCACGTTTATCATATAGCTTGGTTGTTAGATTACCATTAGTGTCTTTTTCAAGTAAAATATCCAAGTATGAAGCAGGAGTGTCGGACTCTGTGGTATCTTTTATCTCAAGCTCACCAGGATATATCGTGTCGACGTAGGAATGGAAATTATCATTATTGAATGAACTTTTGAACCCCCAGGGGTTCATGATTTGAACATACTAAAATCTACACTACCTGAGGATGATTCCATATAAATATCATTAATCATGGCTTTGAAGTACTTGAAAAGAAGATTTTAAAAGGTATCTTTATATATCCCTATGTAAAACTTGGGTCGGCCATTTTGGCCCCATCCTAGCCCCGGGAGTCATGATTTGAACAAACTTGAATCTACACTACCTGAGGATAATTTCACACGAATTTTATCTTTCCTAGTCCAGTGGTTCTTGAGAAGAAGATTTTAAAAGATTTTTCCTACATATTCCTATGTAAAACGTGGGTCGGCCATTTTGGCCCCATCCTAGCCCCTGGGGTCATGATTTGAACAAACTTGAATCTAAACTACCCGAGGATGATTCCACATGAGTTTTATCTTTCCTAGACCAGTGGTTCTTGAGAAGATGATTTTTAAAGATTTTTCCTATATCTTCCAATGTTAAACTTGGATCGGCCATTTTGGCCCCACCCTAGCCCCGGGGGTCATGATTTGTACACAACCAAATTTACACTACCCGAGAATGATTCCACATGAGTTTCATCTTTCCTGGCCCAGTGGTTCTTGAGAAGAAGATTTTTAAAGATTTTTCCTATATATTCCTATGCAAAACTTGGGTCGGTATTTTGGCCCCACCCTAGCCCCGGGGGGTCATGATTTGAACAAATTTGAATCTACACTACCTGAGGATGATTCCACTTGAGTTTCATCTTTCCTGGCCCAGTGGTTCTTTAGAAGAAGATTTTTTTTAAAATTTTTCTCTAATTCATAATTATCTCCCCTTGGAAAAGGACGTGGTCCTTCATTTGAACAAACTTGAATCCCCTTTACCCAAGGATACTTTGTAGCAAGTTTGGTTGAAATTGGCCCAGCGGTTATTGAGAAGAAGTCGAAAATGTGAAAAATTTACAGACAGACGGACAAAATGTGATCAGAAAAGCTCACTTGAGCCTTCGGCTCTGGTGAGCTAAAAACATTAGCTAGAAACACTGAATTTTCGATTACAATAAATGTACCACATAACTACATGTATTTCTATATCATTTTTTGCTCTGGAAATATATATATATATATTAATGCTAGATCTTTTTTTTCTTTATAACAGAAGGAAGCCCTTACACAACAGAAAAATACCAGTATGCTAATCTGGTTTTGGATGATACCTCTGGTGCTACATGAAGGGTTTGGTATAGACCAGCCGTACAGAGAAGTGAATGGTACCACGTGTCAGGAGATTGTCATACAGCCTAATTACCAGACTCGTCTACCCTGCACAGGGAAAGATGAGAGATATCACTGTCTTCTGAATGAGGATTACACCAAGGAGTATGAAGTTTGCAGAGAGTGGAAGTGGATTCCAAAAGGTAGAAATGATTTTGATGTTTTTGTCTCAAGGACATCATATTCAACCTATATCTTATACATGTACCACTTTTAATTCCCAACTTTAATAACTTGCTGAGTATTCTTATATGAAAAATAGTGATCCATGCTGCTGCCTATGTGCATGTATAATTTTCATGCTGTTAATAAGATATTTCAGCCATAAAATAAATTTACAAGTACAACTGTTGTTAGAAGTAGGCATACAAGGTATGCCTACTTCTTACTACTTATTTTTAACTTACCTGAACTGAAAGCTCAAGTGAGCTTTTCTGATCACTTGTTGTCCGTCGTCAAACTGTCCGTCTAGCTGTCTGTCCGTCTATAAACTTTTCACGTTTTCAGCTTCTTCTCACGAACCACTGAGCCATGCATTTTAACCAAACTTGGTACAAAGTATTTTGGGTAATGGGGAGTTTCAATAGTTAAAATGAAGACTCAAGTCCCCTTACAAGGGCAAATAATTAAGAAAATACAAAAATAGGTAGGGGTCATTAAAATCTTCTTCTTGATAACCATTGGGCCAGAAAAGCTGAAACTTATGTGGAAGCATCCTGGGGTAGTGTAGATTCTAAATTGTAAAAGTCATAACCCCCAGGGGTAGGCGGGGCCACAATAGGGAATCCAAGTTTTACTTTTAAATATATAGGAAAAAACTTCTCAAGAATCAATGGCCCAGAAAAGCTGAAACTTATGTGGAAATATCCTCGGGTAGTGTAGATTCTAAAGTTTTAAAATAATTACCCCAGGGGGAGAGGAGTATTTGGCCACAATAGGTATTAAAAGGGGGAAGTTCTGGTAAAAAAAACGGCATCTCGGAAGTTACTCATCTGAGCAATGTGGTCCATGGGCCTCTTGTTTTAAATTCTTAGATTTCATTTATTTATCAATTCAAGTATATTTGTATATCCTATTTAAATTTGTAGACAAATGTGCGTACTTCAATACTTATGGAAGTGGAAATGTGGATGAGAGAGACTGTAAATCCACCCCTGATCTATCTTGTGCTGTCAAGGAATACAACTCAGATAATACCCAATGTTAGTTTATTTTCTTCTCCTAGAGAAACTTAGGGGTGTAATGATATGGTTAAAGACATTAATGTAGCATATTTTTGATAAGTACAAGTAACCAAAAATAGATCTTTCTTTTAGTTTTATTATTTTACATGTTAAGGATATGACGGTTCTTTATTAAAATTACTTTAATTAAATGACACGTACAATTTAAAATATGTATTCATGTATGCATGAATACACATAAAATTATACGTATACATGTATTGTGAAAAAAAAGTAACTCAGTTGAGCAGTGTGACTCAAGTATGGCAAGCCCTTTTACTATTTATTCGTAAAATATTTTTTTCTTTCAATTTGAGAGATATCTCTCTATCATAGAGAGATATCTCTTTAACCTATAAAAATATCTCTTTGAATAATAGAGATATCTCTTCAAACAAAAGAGATATCTCTTTTTGAAAGAGAGATATCTTTATAAGCTAGAGAGATATCTCTTTCAGCGAGAGAGATATCTCTTAAAGTTAGAGAGATATCTCTTTAACAAGTTTAAAAGAGATATCTCTTAAACAAGTTTAAAAGAGATATCTCTCTTAGTTAGATTTTCAAAAAGAGATATCTTTCTAAGCTAAAGAGATATCTCTTTAACGTTCAGAGATATCTCTTTTCATGAAAGAGATATCTCTCTAACTTTAAGAGATATCTCTTTCTTATAGAGATATCTCTTAGAAATAAGAGATATCTCTTTAAGTTGGGAGATATCTCCATTTTTTAAGAGATATCTCTCTAAAATGAGAGATTTCTCTGTAATTTGAAGATAAAATTTATTTTCCGAATAAATAGTAAAAGGGCTTGCCATACAAGGGCCTCTAGCTTGTTATTGTGTTCTTATAATAATAAGCTACTTTAAATTTATGCTTTCATATCATTACATGGTGTTAAACTTGTGTAGAGTTAAGAATAGACACGTAAAGATTATAAAAAATATGAACATGAAAATATTGTGATAAGTTTAGTGATACAGTCCCATTCAAAATATAATACTGTATAAATAGAATTTTAAGCGAGGATTTAATTTTGCATTATTTGCGAGGGTGCGGAGATCACTAAAATTGAATATCGCTAAAAATTGATTGCGTTTTATTTGTAAAAGCTTCTTTAATGTGCATTTTAAATATCTCGCTAAAAATAAATTACCAGTTTTTAAGGACAAATCGCTAAATTTGCGTCTCGCTAAAATTTCCACTTATACAGTATATCAAAACATAACATAGTCCTTTTCTTACACTCCTTACCCCTACTAGATATTTTCTCTAAGTGCAATGCTTTAGAGTTGTTACAGTTTTATTTTAATTTCTCTTTGATTATTAAGATGGCAAAAATTTGAGGTTTTTTTTTAATTTTTCCTATGGCAGATGCTGCCTGTTATGTGAAAAAAGAAATGACAACTGTACCAATCTTAGAAAAAGGGTAATATTAATTTAACTTTAAGCTATTTCTGTGTTGCTGATATTGAATGATGAATAATAAGGGCCCTATAGTAATCACTCTGACTGTCCGTCTATCTGTCTGTCTGTCTGTCATTCTTCCGTCCACAAATTTTCTGTCTTTTCCTAATAGCTTTTTTTTTGTGGTTGCCCAATTTGCTAAGTTTGTTTCTCTATGTCCCCTGGTTTGGAGCTGGGGAGGTGGGGTAGATTCCTTAACTTTATATAAGAATGCATTGGCAAAGAGGGATACCTGCTGAAGATGTTCCCATTGTAAACTGAGTGCTGCTATTAGTCCCTTGGGATTAATTAGCTTTCCTCTTGAAGAAAATTCCAAAGCATTATCTTCATCTGACACATTGAGATAAATTATCATCTAGTCTGTCTGCAAAGGAAGTTTGTTTTGAAGTTAAGTGAATTTGGAAAGCTATGAACACTCTGAAATGTGGATCTAAATATCAATGTTTACACTTTATTTTTGGTAAAATAGTTATGATTTCATTGAATTCTAAAAACAAGAAATAGATTAAAGAAGATATATTTTTTATTTTTACTTTTTTCCCCTTAAATTTATGTAAATTCAAGAATATTATTAATTTTTAAGAAAGTTGTATAAAAACCCCATTTTATCATCATTACTGAAAAAGTAACTTTAGAAGAAAATGATGAGAGAGGTACAATTAATCCCTTGTGATTGATTATCTAGCCTTCTGCAGAAAATTTATTAGGCATATATCTTTATCTGTCACCTTAAAGTAATATACGCCGTATGGATGCCGAATTTGTATGTGAAACAAAATGATTAAATGATTTGAAACACATAAAGTGTAATGAAAAAATAATATTTCCACAAAATTTAACTATAAAACTCGTTTGTAATAACAGAACAATAAAGCAATATCTGCAATCAAGAATTCAGTCTTTTCATGAATATTGATAAAGGAAGTGCGTAAACAGTAGGTCTAAATATAGACACATATGTCCACGGGAAATTATAGACAACGAGGCACGTTGCATTTTGACAACGATTATTAATAAAAGGTTAATATGCGTCATAACAGGGTATAGATGGTTGATACTGATTACATTTAAAGTTAAGTTATATTAACTTACTTAACCATATTGATATTAAAATTAGTGATTTCCTAGGTATGTCAACCCCACAATTTAAAATCAATTTGAAAAGAATATTACTGAATTTCTATAAATTAAAATGGGAAAAAGACAGGAATTTACATAAAGATGGCAAATTGTCTACCTTTACCAGCATAAAGACTAAATTTTGTTTTGAACCTTATCTAGATATTCTTACAAACAATCAACATAGATCAGTTTTAACAAAGTTAAGAATATCGGCTCACAGGCTTAAAATTGAAATTGGACGTTACCAAAAAATACCTAGAGAGGAACGAATTTGTTCACTTTGTCATCACAACGAGATTCAGGATGAAATTCATTTTCTCCTTGTATGTCCTCATCTTAATGTACAAAGACTTGAACTCATAAATATTTGTAAAATTAAATGTAAAAATTTTCAGTCTCTATCTTATGATAATCAATTTTATTGGCTCATGACTAATGAAGACCCAGACATCCTTAGATCACTTGCTGGATTCCTTAGTAATTTACCTTAATTGAAGATATTGTGATAAGCATAAAAAATTATATACCTCTTTCCCAGTTTCTTGCCTTTAACTATATATATGTATAAATTATATATTTGTATGTAACTTACAATACAATACATGTATGTATATTCAGTATATCTCATATACTTTTTTTTGCGTATTTGTTTTTTTTTTTTAACAATTGCTCTTTATTTGTAATATCATCATCATGCTTGTTCTATCATTTGGATCCTCCTCCTTCTATTTGTAAATCTTTTTGCTCCTCCGGGGGCCCAAATTGGATTAATAAAATCTTGTATCTTGTATATTAATAGTAACATGCCACCGATGTCAAAAGTGAGTTGTATCTCAAAGGGCTTACCTCGTTTTCTTGACGCCGTGTTTGTTTATCAATCTAAAAGTAGCGACGGCGTCACGTGGTGGATTTACTTAAAAATAGACATTATTCTCCTTGCAGGATAATAAATGATTATAATTTGATAACTTTATAACGAATTTTATTGACATGGTGTAATTAACAGCATTTTCGTAACTTTTATTGGTAAACAAAATATATAAATTTCCAGCCGTATTTTAAAATGGCGCACGTTATAGCGTATATTACTTTAAGATTAATGAAAACTTTTTTCTGCAACTGCTGTTTGTTTTGAAGTTAAGGTCAAGCCTTCATGATATTTGCATTCATTGAAGGCTGGCATTTTATATGACATAAGCTTCATTATTGATTAAATATACACTCAATGTTAAGTTGTTCTTTATTGCCTAATGTAAATACAATGATATAATTTACAGGTTTTTGAATATTCAGGAATTATCTTAAAATTTTAAGAATACAGTAACTGTTGCTGTTGCTTATTTTTCGTACATTTTTTAATCATTCTGTAAGCTGCCCCCTTATAATTCTACCCCATGGCAGGGCCCTTGCTGACTGGTCAGTTTTCTAGTTACAATGTACTTGTGACGTAGATGTTGCAGCCTAACATTTTTTTATGTTTGACTGGCAGGCCAACAGTTTAATTGTTAGATGGATGTAATTTTAATTTATCCCATGTTTACCCATTTATCCCATGGATATAGCTCATGTGATATCATTTTCATATCCCACACTTAAGTGCAGTTATGACGTCACAATGGCCATTTTAGCCCCGCCCTACCCAGGGGGTCATGATTTGAACAAACTTGAATCCACACTACCTGAGGATGCTTCCATATAAATATCATATATTATTGCTTTGCTATTCTTGAGAAGATTTTTAAAGAATTTTCCCATTATATTTCTTTGTAAAACTTTGATCAGCCATTGTGGCCCCGCCCTACCCCCGGGGGTCATGATTTAAACAAACTTAAATCTACACTACTAGTACCTGAGGATGCTTTCATAAAAAATATGATCATATTCTTGGGAAGAAGATTTTTAAAGAATTTTCCTATTTGTATGTAAAACTTTGTTCAGCATTTTGGCCCCACCCTACCCCCGGGGGTCATGATTTGAACAAATTTGAATCTACACTACCTGAGGATGCTTCCCCAAAAGTTTCATCATTCCTGGCACAGTTGTTCTTGAGAAGAAGATTTTTAAAACATGCCACCTAATTTTCACTAATTCCCAATTATCTCCCCTTGAATGAGGATGTGGCCCTTCTTTCAAACAAACTTGAATTCCCTTCACTCAAGGATGCTTTGTACCAATTTTGGTTAAAATTGGCCCAGTTGTTCTTGAGATGAAGTCAAAAATGTGAAAAGTTTACAGACAGACAGACAGCTAGACAGACAGATGCCAGACAAAATGTGATCAGAAAAGCTCACTTGAGCCTTTGGCTCAGGTGAGCTAAAAACCATGCACAGAAAAAGGAATAGCACATAAAAGTTATTAATTGAATTAAAAATCACAAAAGAAATCATTCCACAAAGTAATATGAATACATTGCTGTGATTAAATATCACAACAGAAATCATTTCATAAATTAATTTGTGTACATTGCTGTGATTAATTAACTAAATATTTCAGCATAAAATGGTATTATGGTACTTCTGGAGGGACGGGAGTCTGTTCAACAAATAACCAGCACAGGTTGGTGTAATAATACATATTTTTTAGTCAAACATTTACTGATATGATTAAAAATCAGGTTGTGCATTTATTAATAGTATTTAAACTCAGACTAATATTAAGTTCTGTTAAATGTGGAAGAAAGTTGCCTTTAAGCATGTTGTTTGATTAATTTCAGGGAGATGCTCCTCCCAATGTTTTCATATATTTTCTTGCAACATTTTATCAACCAGTGATTCACAGAGAAACAAGAGCTAGTGAAAGATGATGGAGAAAAAAAATTAATATCGTTAAGTATTTCATAGCAGCAATTTTTCACTACCTCATCAAAGTCGACAGGTACATGTACTTATTATGTTTGGTTATTTGTATTGATGTACCTGGTAATTGTACCTACACATTGAGTGCCCTCAGGGGGATATAAGAAGAGCATTTTTATTGTTTCTAAAAATAAAATTTTAAGACTGCAAATGTCTCAGTGTAACAGCTTCAGACTCCAAGTTTAACACATGAACTTAATTTTTCAAATTTTTATTTCATTAATTGCTAAATCAATAGATTGCATATTTGTCAATATTTAAAGCCATTCAATTTTATATATTGTTAAATCCTGAATGTTACATTTTTAATTATGAATAATTCAACAATATGGATAACTTATGTTGGTTTTGGAGAAAGACTAATAAACAAAGACCATCAACAATTTAAATTATTACATGTATATGTACATTATTAAGAAAAATATGTACAAAATATTCTAGAAATATACCTAGGCATTTAAATTTCAAATTCAGAAAATTTTGTAAACTGAAAGTATCAGGTACTGGATATGTAAAAAACTAAAAATAATTAGTTGTTTGGATCTTGTAGATCTTATTTTAATTATTAATATGATACATAGTACTGCAGAACAGGTACGGTACTTTTAATAAACTGTTTAATGACACGCCAGTCTCTTATTTCATTTTGTGTCGATGTGTTTACTAACCATTTAGACAACAAGGGCATCACCGTTCATTTCATTGAGAGCTGGGTTCATAATTCTGAGGTAATTTTTTTTCTCCTAAGGGTTTTGCCATATAATAGTTTTCAGGTTTTCTGAAAGCTCAATTGTAGAGTTTAAGGGTCAGGGTTTCAGTGCCATGTTGTTGAGGTTGCAGTAATCCCTGTTGGTATTCTGCTGATCTAGATATTTGGACTGACGCTCACAGAATCGAGCGTCAGTCCATATATCTAGCTCAGCAGAATACCAACAGGGATAAAGATTGCAGATGTAAGACCTGTCAGCTGGATTAACCTATGATGGTTTGTACACGAATACATTTAAGGAGGGAGAAAGTGGTGGTAAGAAATTGATTTGTTCACCATTAGACCAATGATAGGACAGATAGCTCAACTGGTGGAACTCTTGTATTTGGTCGGAAATATCTGACATTTTACTGGCTTTTTTAAAAACAATTTTGATATAAGACATCCGAGTGCAGGCCTTTGCAGGGTGATTGTGACAAGTGGAAATTTGGAAAATCCTCAAATGAAGGCAACATTCTTGGGTTAATTTTCCACACAAATTGAATTTAATGTCAATGTACATGTTACCAACATTTAATTGCTTTTATTACTTTTGTGTATGATAAAGTCTTGTGAAAACATTTTATCAAATTGTCAAAGTTAGTTTTGATTTTGTGCTGTTTGAAATCTTGTAAGAATTGAATCAAAATGTAGAGTGGTATTTTCTTAGTGAAATTTCAAAGTATTGTGCAGTTAATGTTAAAGTTGTGAGTTTGATATTTATATTAAACTGCAAGTGTCATATTCATCTAGTGGTACATGTATTCTTTCACATCTGATATCAAAATCACTTTAAACAAGATGTATTTGTGAAACACTATGCGCCTGGTGGCAACAAAGTTCGAAAAAGCAATTTTTAGCATATAGGTCACAATGAAGGTCACACAATCATTGTCCTTGTTGTCATTTGAAAGCACTTAATTAGTGGAATATGAATTACAAATATGATGTCTCTATCTCCTATGGTTAAAAAGTTATGCCAAAAGTTTGAAAAAGCTATTTTTAGCATATAGGTCACAGTCAAGGCACAAGGTCATTGACCTTGGTGTCAGTTGAAAGTGTTTAGTTAGTGGAGTATGCATACCAAATATGAAATCTCTATCTCTCACGGTTCAAAAGTTATGGCGAAGGTTAAAATTGACAAAAGGCAGACAGGACAAAAACAATACCGTAAATCTGGAAATTTTTACGTCGATTTTTTTTTGCGAATTCGGGTCAAAATGGGGTTGATTAATTTTTACGCTTCAAAATTTTGCGAATTATCACTGCTTTGTTTACATTTTCTTATTGGTAATTTATTTTTAAGAAAAATATTTTTGCGAATGTATTGAACTCGCAAATTTGCTAAAAATTTATCTACAGCAAAAATTTCCAGATTTACGGTATACGCCCCGAATCTATCGATTCCGGTGCATAAAAATCCTTGGCAAATGCCAGATATTTAGGACTTATCTCTTAAGCTGCACAACATCCTACTTTAGAAGTAAAACCTAGGTAGGTAGTGACTACCAGAGCTTTCAGTAAGAAGCAAAAGGAGGTGATCAATCACCAGTTCAAATGATTAGAATTTGCTTCTAAACTTGTTATCAGCCAATTAATGAAAATAAATTTAGAGCATCCTCTTAATAAAATAGACAATTCACCTCTCCTCTCCATTACTATTGGGCACTTCACACTGCCACTTAATTTTTCAAACAGGTCTCAGGATATTCAAATATACCATTTATTCATTGATTCTTGCAAGAAATCTTTGTACCTTAAATGCATAATTACTTTATGATCATCATATTAGAAGATTATTTTCAAAAGTGATGCATGAATGTTACTCATATTTATACAGAAAGACTTGTCTGTATATGAGATGAATACATTTCAAGTTAAAACCTCTTTAACATGCTAGAGCACGTACACTGTCATACCTCCCATAACTGATAACAACATAACTGAACATTTTCCAAATTTTCACTGTACTGTCATTAACTTCAGATTCATTTTTTTGTCTTCGCTTTCTTCTTTTGCTTCATTTGCTTTGATTTTCCATCAGCGCTTTTAAATTTTTTGAATTTGCCAGGTTTGAATGTCTTTTTTCCATTGTCTTTTTTGTTATATTTGTTAGTCCCCTTTTTCTGGTTCTCTTTTTTGACTGGTGACCCTTCCTTCTTGTCTTCAGCCGCTTTGCTGTCCCTCTCTCCCTCCTTTTCCTTCTTGCTCTCGTCAGAAATGTTCACAGACTCTGCCATCTCAGCTGCAACCCGAGTTTTCTCTTCCTCGCCTTTCATAAAAATCAGTTGAAGTTTCTTAAACTCTAATAATTCTAGTCATTTACTGGAAATATTTCTTGAAATCTAATCTATCAACACTTATAGAAACCATACTTGGAAAGGATTAAGAAAAAAAAAACAAAAATAAGATATAATTCGAAGCTACTACAGTAATCAGTATATATACTGTTAAATTAAATACACACTGAAATGCAGTTAAATGTAACATATGAAATTGCGACATCACAGCCTGGATTCTCTCTAATTTACAAGGCTATGTAAGAAAGATAAAAGTGTATGCAAGTTGCATAAAAGCTGTTGATGATGCATATGTGCTTGCCCCAATGGTTATATCTTTGTCAATACAGATATTAACAAGAGGCCCAGGGGCCACATCGCTCACCTGAGAAAAAGCACACATCAGAAGGGAGGGGGAGGGGGCTTGAATTTTAATACTACCTGAGGTTGCTTTCATATTAATACAGCATATTACTTAGCTGTTCTTGATAAAAAGATTTTGTTTACATTTTCTTCCTATAAATAACTTTATAATAATTTGAATTTGATTTCCCATTGTTTCCCTCCCTACCCCAAAGGGCTATGATTTGAATAAATTTAAATCTTCAATACATGAGGATGCTTAAATGTCAATATGACTAAACATAGCTTTTCTGTTCTAGGGATTTTTTCCCCCTTTATTTTTCTATGTAAAACTTTGATCCACCATTGTGGCCCCACCTTACCCTTGGGGGTTATGATTTGAACAAATTTAATTCTACACTACCCGAAAATGCTTCCATATAAATGCTAGTATTACTAATCATGGCTTTCTTATTTCCCTCATTGTGGTCCACCCTATCCCTGAGGGTTATGATGTAAACAAACTAGAATCTACACTACCTGAGGATGATTCCACATAAATGTCATTAATCATGGCTTTGAAGTACTTGAGAAGACGATTTTAAAAGAGTTCCTTAACTAGTCCTACGAAGAACTTTAATCAGCCATTCTGTTCCCCTTCCCTACCCCAAGGGGTCATGAGTTGAAAAAATGTGAATCTACACTACCTGAGGATGATTTCACATGCATACTTGCCAACCTCCAGCATGTAAAAATCTGGTCATGACCAGATTTGGAGAGTAAAAAATCTGGTCATAACGCGCAACGGCATTCACGACATATTTACCATGATTAAATTTTATACAGTATAATTTGTCCAATCCGGCTACTGCCGGTTCCATAAAATTTGGCCGGATTAGACAGAATCCGGAGTGCAGGAAAAATGCAGGGAAATATAAATTTCGAAAATTTTCGTTATTTATTTACAAGTACATCATATGCATATTATAAATAAAATTAAATGATGAAATCAATTGATATTTTAGAGTCTATGAATTATAAAATAGTCTCACATGACTTACTGTATTTTCTTATTTGTTCACGAAGTTTGAAAGTCGGGTGGAATGTTACCTCAATCAAAATATACAGGCACGCATAATATAGGCCTACTTTGTATCAAACGGACTGGGTTTCGCTTGTCAAAGACCTCATTCAATGTATTAACAGTAATGCACAATTATTTACGATGTGCTAATTATTAGATTGAACTTTTAATTTTATGTAACAAATTACGTCTTCCCCCAGTGTTATGGTGCCATTTTGAAATGCGTTCGATTTTCGATCCCGATTTATATTTTGATTTGTAAATCGCATACATATATTTTTGTGTTTATGTTATAATGTGCTAAAAGGAGTTAAAACAAAGTTACTTTTTTTTATTGTAATTTAATATAATATATTTTTCAAGTGGACTGTGTCACCGCCGCATTTCACCGAGTTCGTCTCATGGCACTAATTATCATGCTAATGTAAACACGGATTATCACATTCCCCCAAAAAGGTGTTAATTTCTTTGAAGTAACTCAGGTGTGGCCGGATTAGAGGAAATAATTAACGTTAATTAAGAGCAGTTGGGACCAGTATGGCCGTTCGGAATACAGAATAGACAGTATCCGGACTACACAGAATTTTTTTAAATGAATTTGTTAAAGAAGTGCATGGGACTAAAATTTACGGACGGAATGGACAAAAGTCCGGAGTACTCAGAGTCCGGATTAGACAAATTTTACTGTACATATATATTCAAAGTAGTTTTGTATCGAGAATTCTTTTAATGAAAAAGGCTTCAATTTACAATGACAAAAAATTCATACATAATTTGATTAATAAATTTACATGTTAAAAAAGGGAATTGAAGGTTTCATATTTCAGTATTGACCTGAAGTAAGTGTAATTTTTTTTAAAAAAGCCTTTTCAGTTTCTGTTAAATTTGAAAGTACGTGTATACCAATTTCAGTTTTGAAGTTATTTTTCCTCTCTCTTAATTAACTAACTACTGCAATTTGTATTAAATGTGAAGTTAGGCCTACACTGTCTTCGATCACTTTATTTTATCTAGAATGAATTTTTTTCCAGGATTCCTTGATATGTACATAAATATCGTTTCTCTTTTCTTGGATTAATCAGAGACACGTGTTTGCCTGTTTGGTTCAATTTGTTCATGCTGGCCCTGATAACGATCTAGTTCTATCGGAAGCCATTTTAATTGACTTCAA